TGCAAGGTGCATCCGTGTGAACGTCGAGGAAAATCACGGGACGATGTCAACGACCCACATCTGTGACGATCTCCGTCGTTTGCAACCTCGACGTTCCTCCATCGTCGCCATTCCTGCCTCGTTATTTTCCGCTTTTCCCGAAACCAATCGCGCCGACAGAATTTTTGTTAACCGTTTATAGACGTACACCTTGACGTACGATGGATGGAGCAGCCTTTGAGGCGGAAGGCTGACAATTATCGCGTATCTAGAAAGCTGGTAATGTTGTTGCAGAACTTTCTCGATATCGAGGTGGAAGACATCCTTCGATCGATCTTCGCTACGCGGGCTTCTTTGGGAATTCATTTTAAGGGAGAACATTCAAGGTTTTTCTCTTCCCACGATGACTGCTTAAATTATTTTTAACGTATCATTTATTACTGTAATGCAGAACGATGCGTATTATTCATGATAAATTGAACTCATCCACTTAAATTTCCACTTGAATAATTACTGGTGTGTATAATGACTAGGTTAAATAACTGATACTTTTATGTAGATAAGCTCTATCTATACCAAAAGAAAATTCTTGTTTCATTTGTGTACACAAGTGTTTGAAAAATGACAATGCACGCGGTTGATTAAAGTGATATTTTTAAGATGCCCTGATGGTCTTGTACCGATCCGATAATGACTAATGCGGTATGTATAACGATCTACTTTGACAAAATTAATTTTGAAATTAACTTTCGAAATCAATAATTAAACTATTAACATTAAACTATGGGTCGTAGCGAAATTTTGGGGTCGCGAGATTTTAATGTAAAATATCTAATATTCTCTTTTATTTATGTTATTGCAAAAAAGTGCAGATTTGATGAAAAATAGCGTGTATAATTTTTCTAACTATAATAAATACAATTTTACAACTTTTTGTGCAATTTTGAATATCATATTTTTGTATGTTTTTAAACAAATTCTAGAACTATATTTTTTCATATGTATATATATTGTTACCTAGTCAATAAATCGTCACAAAATATTTACGTATCTTTATTTTATATTGTTTGGGTCGCGAAAAAAATCACAATCATAAATGGGGTCGTAAATGGAAAAAGTTTAAGAAGCCCTGGTATAGAGTGCAAACGTTAACGAATATAAATAACACGAAGCTTCGGTGTTTTATAATATTAATTATATCCGCGAAACGGAAATGACTTAAATGTTGCTTCGAGTTTTCCTCGATGCATCCTCGATTCTCGAGAACCGGTATGCGCTCGTGCAATACTAACTCGCAAAATACACCCACGACCGGTTCACGGAAGCATGAATGTTGGAAACTTAATTTATTTATCGTCTACTGAAATACTGGCGTCTACAGTGATTTTCACACCGATAAAATAAACAGTGAATAGAGACTTCCTACATAAAAGTATGAATTGTCTTACACAGTCGTTACAAAGTCCAAAAAGGACTTCAATCTTAATGAAACGAATACAATTGTTAGACAGCGACTATAAAGTGCATAAACCAAGTATGAAACAAATAATACCATAAATGATAACGGAGAACAAATAATTTCAAATAAGAAATATATAGTCAGTGTAATAAGTATCCGTACAGGAGCCATTTATTTTAAATTGGTTGCCGTACGAATACTTCTCACACTGACTGTATATAAACTACTTCCTTATAAATAAGGAAGTGAATACACCGAAAGCGTTTTTACACGCAGACGTTTGCGAATCGACTCGCCGCGATCGCGAATTCTTATCGCTCTCCATTCAAACATTTTATCGAAAGTTAATACCAAAAGATTACTATATTTCTATTCAAAATCCATCTATTTATAAACGTATCTAAATACACGTGTACGTCGTAGATTGGTTGCACGTGTAACACGCTATCAGGATAAAATTAAATTGTTTACAAGCGAAGATGGATCGCATGTGTGGTTTACTAATACGCGTTTGCAGCAGTGACTCTAACGCGTACTTAGTCTAATGCCAGCTCAACTTTGATTTACCGTGATTCGCGAAAGCAGCGCGAGGAACTGACAACAATCAGTTCGACTTATCGTTTATCTACGATTCAACCTCTGTGTATGTTAACTTAAACGTCATTGCGAGCCAATGCACAGAGCGCAGCAATTTTCTTCCTATTTATTTTTGTTATAATCGCTTCAATTTCAAATGTCTTCTTAGAACAATTTTTCTCATTAAAGGTTTACAAGTATGTACACAGTTGTATGCATTTTATTTTATGGAAAGTGATGATATGTTCATCGAAGGAATAAATTTATGCAACATTCCTTGCCGCTTAAATTTATCCTTTGATCGCTCCTACGACATTTCAACAAGGTTAAGTCGGTTTTTATGTTTTCGAAAAAAAGTCGAACACATTGCTTGAGTACTTACAATTATGAGTAATAATACCGTAATAAATTCTACGCAATGTCTATTTCTAGCTTCGGTACATTTCGTATTCATCACAGAAACAACGCGTTCCCTCAACTATTACGAAACTGATACACTTCAAGTGAAATTAAGGAGTTGAAGAGTGACAATTTAAAATTGACCGTACGAAATCATAGATATTTTCCCGAAAACATCTACGAAAAGAATATTCCTCCACCTTCGAAATGAGTATTACCCATTCGACCAAAGTAATTTTTAGTTTGTAGTCTCCACTCTTTAAGCTGTATCTAAGCTCCCGAAATTTATTGAAAATATGCCCTTTTCATCAAGAACAGAGCTACGAAGTTAAGAATTTTCAAAACTTTTCAAAATCCCCCAAGGCACGTTCAAGTATCGTCAGAAGCTATACAGCGTATCACAATTTCAGTGAAATTAAGATGTTGCTCCAAAAAAGCCTAGTCACTCCAAAAAAGTCACGTTACTCCAATTTGGGTTGGAAGCAGCCCGGTTCGAGAAGAAGAGAGCCAGATCGCGTCGACCGCTCGCTCCATTCGTCGATCGCGGCGCTCATGTTAATCGCCGCGAGATAAACCCACCGCTTTTTACCCTGATTAAGGCAAGACCACGAACGATCGTCGATCTCGAATTCGGACTTTGTACTATTCGATGTCTGCGCCGACCGATGCTCGTGCCGGAAAAACGAGAATCAAGTCCGATGATTCGCGACTAACAAGGAACATCGTCCAACTCTAACCCGGCGATTTTAATGAAATTTTCCACGCAGATAGAGCATTGAAAAATATATCGTGCATGCTTTTTTTTCTCATCGTTTGATACACGCACTCGAGGGGGTAAAAATTACGAAGGAGGTTGCAACGGAATACCTAATTGGTTAAAGTTCTCGAGAGTTAACGAAAGCGAAAGAAGAGCGGCAATTTAAATCGGTAACTAAACATTTGTATGGCTACGGAAATTTAGTGTGGAGCGCAAACTAAGTTTAGTATTGTTTTTAAACAGACGAGAAAGCTTGGTAAATATGCGTGGTTCGTTGCTTGCGTTCACAAATTTCCAGCCAGAAAAAAATGTGTTTTACGAGATATGTTATTTAAAAAAGCGATGGGACTGGCTACAGTGGCGTCATCTATGAATTGGTACAATTTTTATTCAGGACATGTTGTTCGTTAAAAACAGTACTTTTTTCATATTGAACATTTTTTTTTTAACTCTGTTAGCTTTCGAGAAATTTGAGTAAGTAGTAACCTCAGCTGCAATTTTTTAAGGAATTTTTTCAGTCTTCGACAGATTTATGTTTTTCCGACCTGTTTCGATTAAAGTCTATCCTGACACTTTCTCTGAGGGGTAGGAATAACTTGGTCTCAATTTGATAGACAAAGTTCAACCTGGTTCTTTATGAAAAAAATATATTCCTTCTTAAAATGTGCACAAAAACCTGTACAAAATTTGAAGAAGCTATAGTCAACAATGTCTGAGAAAAATATTTATGAAAGAACTGAAAGCGGTATCCTTCCTTACATTCCATTCCTGAAAAGGGTTAAAAAAAGATTCAATATGAAAATGACGAACCATAAGAACGTAATTTGTAATCTGCACATCACGATCGCTTTAAAAATCGTGATAGCAACTCTATCACCAATTAAAACGTAAAACTTTTTCGTATCTCAAAGCATATCAAGGTGGACTTAAACACTTACGTAATGAGCTTCCTTTTGGTCGGCCAGCGAAATTCCGAGATCGCGTAAAAATCGCGCGACAAATCGTTGCCGATGATCGTTACAGATCGTCCCTTGCCCGCGACAACTACTATCTTTCTCGAAAGCTCCGATCGGACATTATATAAGCTGCCCCCGATGCCGTCGATCCACGTCTCGTTTTATCTTGAATCGTTATTCTGACTCGACACGAGCAGCCTTGAACTTCGACACGCGGGACGTGTCATTGTCCGAATTGAATTATTTGTTCGCTGCGATTGCGTATCGTTCGCTCGGAGGTGCGCAACGTCTTCATCGATATGTCACCGTGGCACAGTGTTGGTCATTGATCAATCACGTTTACGATCGACTGCTAAATCAATTGAAAAATTAATTGCAATCGGAGGCACGAACTTCAGGTGCTGTAAACTTCGATCGCGATCCAGAAAACGACTTCCATCGAAATTTTCATTAGAATCAAAAATCGAAAATTCAGATTACAATTAACCTATACTGTCAATCGAAGACGCATATTTCAACTACGATTAAATTTCAATTAATTTCAACTTGAAAAGCAACGTTTCCATCGCAATTGACGAATTATTAGATTCTACTTGCGCGAGATAATTAATCCTCCATAATTAACGAATCGAAATTGATGAGTTGAATTTACAAAAATTAAAGAGCTCGAACTCGCCTGGTTTCCAACATCTCGATCGAAGCTTATAACCTTGTCCACGAGGATCAGAGGTTCGACGAGTCCCGTAATTCAGAGCTTCGTTAATTGCGTCGCACTTGAAATCGTATTACGTACCTTGGACTCAGATTTAAAGTTAGAAATTGCGCGGTGGTGTGCGTTGAATCATCGCGAATTGATCGAATTTGACGTTCTCAGGTAACAATGCAGGAGGAAGGTCGTCAGCGGTGACAGGATCGGTTCAAAGGAGCACCGTCACTTCGAGTAACCGCGCCCACTCCGCCACCAGGAGGATCAGTCATCAGCAACGTCAGCAACAACAGCAACAACAGCCAAGGATACCCTTGGGACCCTTACGAAACTCGGATGATCACGTGTCGAGGGCCAACTCGGCACAGGACGTTTGCGACAACTCGAACGACTCGGGGCTTGGCTTCGAGGAACGACAGCAACACCTCACCACCGCAAACGTTAGTGAATCGCACGAACGCAGTATGATTGATAAATTTCAGATTGCCGCCCGTGATTTATCTCGGATGTTATATTTTGGAGTATTCCTAATCGGAAGGCCAGATTTCGTGTGATCAGTGGAAGACGATAAGTTGACACCGTGGTTTACAGTTTGATAAGAATCGTTGCGGAATTATTAACGGTAATGGCTGTTTGTTTAAACGACAATGAATTTTAAAGCATTCTCAAAGAAAGGAACTTCGTAGGTGGGTCCAAGTTAAGACCGGTAATTTCTAATTATTCGTTCATTCGATCTGCGAGCAAATTCTGTTGAAAAATAATTGTGCATCCATGGTGCACGACGTAATATAAAATTGCAAATTAGTGAGCAGAGAAAGATGAACGTGTTTGTTCTGGGACAGAGATGAGCAAAATGTTTAAATAACGAATAGAACCAACACACGGATTTATTCGCGATATTCATTTAACACATCGGCTGCCGGACTAAAACACCTCAAAATTTCTATGAAATTAAAATTTGTCTCGAGATTGTTGAAGGTTAGATAGTTGTAAGATTCGTCGATGAATTTAATTTTTGAACCCTGCCAAATTCACGAATCCTATCCAAATTTATTTTCATCGTCGCCTCACCTTTGAAATCAATTTTTTTATTTCCTTAATGAAAAGTCCTGTGTTAACGTTGTGTGATCGACGTGTTAACTAAACGGTTCAATCGTCACCTATTCACCGTGATATATTTCATTCCGCGATTCACATTCAAAGTTTCATTCAGCGTGTAACGTATAAAGAGGTGTTTATCATTAATTCTGCGCTCGCAATTTGTATCTAGATAAGAATTTTGCCTGTCTCTGGCTGGTAGACACATTGCATGACGTGTTTGCGAAAGCTGTTTGTGTTCGACAGCATTGGAGTTTGTTTATATATCGTAACAACGGGTTATCATCAACACGACAAATCTGCCAGAAGCATCGGACGTGTTTTTATCGACGATTAATGTTCGCGAAAAAGCGTTACGTTGGCGACTTTATCGCGAAATATCGCCGATGTTATCGCGGTCAAAGATGGGCAAAAGTTTGTTTCAATAATAGATAACGGGTAAAAACTATTTATTCGCGACGACAATATAATTTCATTTAAACATTTTAAATTGCAATTTGCATCGAAGAAATGATCGATCAAAAGTTGCTTAACTTTGATAGATGCGTTTGTTATTCTGCTCGAGACAAAGGATCAAGGGTTTGAACAGTGTAGATTTTTTTTATTTAAATTTGTTAGCAATACAGGTTGGGTGTAGATTAGGTCTGGGTTAGGTCGGGCTATTTACACGCATCTGGCAATTTTTTGTTATCGTACGATTGAAAACAGTTTAAACAAGCTCGCGTTCGAACTTATTTTTACCAGGACAACTCCACCCATCGATGTTACTCTCGCGAAGATGTATTAACGAATACAAAAATTTGTATTTCCACTACCGATCCGACTTTTGTTTACCCGGCCACCAGTCAAGCGAGTCGACGCGTGTCTCGCGATAATTGAAGATAAACATTGGCGAAGATACATCGATATATCGAAGAAGACCAACACTTGGCAAGTTAATCGTGACATTCGACGAAGTAGTTACATTTTTAATTACCCACTGTAACAAATATTTCGTTCCCCAATTTAAATTCATGTTTGTACTCAAAGCAGCGCCGATAAATAGTCGTTTATCTTTTATTCATTATTCAAAATTTTTTGTTCAGACAAGAATTTCACCTATCTCTGCTGCATTTATTCGTTCCATCGAAACTCCGTCTCACGCGAGTGGCGTAACCGACAAGGAAGACCCAAAGAAAACCCTCTCTTTCTTCCCCGTAATCTGTCCGAGTGTTATTTTTGTATTCGAACGAAAACAATACACAGTCAACGGCCTCGCGGAAGAAATATCGTCGAAAATATCGGAAGTGCGTGCTGGTATCTGCCGAGAGAGTCTTCGTCGAAGAAGTTGCTCTTTATCGTGTTGCACGGACACGAGGAGGGCGATCTTTGATTGATATCGGCACATGCAACGACAATTTATTCGTCTTCTATTGCGTAACCGATCCGATGTACGAATAAAGCGTAAAATACGTAAAGCGCTCTTACAGATTCCATGATTCTTATATCAAATACACGAATTGCATACAATTGTTTCATGCATTATTCAGTGCAGTTCCGCGTAAAATATTTGTGCATTTAAGTAAAGAAAGAGTCTTTAAATACAAGAAAGAAATAGCAGAAGCAGAATAAATAGAAGAAGTAGTAGAGATAGAAATACAAATGAACAGAAAAGAATTTCAATACGAATTTGAGTAAATAACCAAAATTCAATCCTTTAGAATATTACATAGGTGCTATAATAAGAAAAGTTTTATATACATACAAAGTTTTAATATTGTACTCCTTTAAAAGAGTCCCTATTAATGAATCCTACCTGCGCGCAAAGTTCCATCCGCATCGCCACGTAAGGGATGGTACGTCGCGAATCGGGTCATTCCATCTCCAATCCATCGCTCCACGTCTTCCTCTGCGTGTCTGCGTCAACGAGGTCGCATCGTCCAGCCCTCGAAAACGTTTCCCAAGAGACCATCCTCGAAACCTCTGAAGTCTGATGCTTCCCCTCCGGTTACGCCACTGTCGCGCGCGCACCGACTCGTTGGATCTAATGCGATCACTCGTAACGGGTACACGGGATCATCGTTGATTCGACAACGACCACGACACGGAGCCGGGTCTCTAACGGTAGTTGAACCCGTTGGGCGCTCTGATTCGTTAAATTGAGCCGGCAACTTAACGACTACAGGCACAGACACGAGCGCAACGCGTCTCTATCAATCTGTCGTTGCTTAACAGGCTTGGAACGGCGCCGGTGAGGAGGACTCGAAGAGGAGAAAGATGGACATCAAGCTCGAGTCCGAGGACGCGAACTTCGCCTTCCCCGAGGTTGCGAACAACACGAGCCCCGACAGCAAAACGTCCAGCAGGAGAACGTCGAACGGTATAGGGTTGGCCACCATCTCCAGCAGCAGGAACGGGACCGCTGGAAGAGTCGTCGACGGGCCCAGATCTCGTCCAGGCATGGGTGTCCTCAGCAAGAGGCCGCCCACGGCTCACCATGGACCCATCACTCTCACCTCGCAACTATGTACGTAGGTTATTCCATGTCGAACCGAACTTCCACTTTGAATTTGAAATTTGGGTATGTTTGCGAGCATTTGGAGATGTTTGACGTGGTTGCACGGAAAAGACATGCATTATATGGGTCAGAGAGGAGTCGTTTAGGGTCTACGTGAGGTGGATCGCGCGTTACATCGTGGATTTTTAATAAAGGTCATCCAATCAACCATATACGGGTAACCGACTTATAACAAATATACTTAGCAATGATATTCTTAACACCTAAACAGCTTTCGGTAACATATGCCCCTGCCATGAATGAAACATTCTATGTTGTCCAGCAAAAGAAGGGACCTGCTTATTTGTACAGCTGTTCTTGTGTGGCTTTATTATTAAATAGTGCTCTTCTTACGATATATTTTAAATCACGGAATACACGGTCCAAGGCGCTCTTGGCAACAGCCTGTATCTCTTCGGATTCTTAGTCCGTCGACACTGCGAGATAAATATACAGCATATCGTTTCTGCAGATTTTGTTTGTATCTCCGTGGATGTGTAGTTGATGATCGTGTCATAATATCTGCAAAAACTGTCTGTCAAATGTGTGGTGCTTGTTTCATAGACATTGTACTTTCATTTACCAGTGTCTCGTGAATCGGTAATGCGATATGTCGATATATTAGCATACCTGTAAGTTGCGATCGAAATTGCAAATTAGTTTTTTATCCTCTGTTTTTATATATATATGGGACAAATGAATTCTGAACAGTTTGATCTACGAGTCGAAGAATCGATTTGTTACATCTGCTGTGTATACAAACACTACTTATTTATTTAGCGAGGCAAGAGACTACAGCCCAAATGCTTTATCTTTGTCGTTCGGCCCGTAGATTGAACAGTTGACTTGACCCTCTAGATCGTACGGGATACAAAATTTAATACTTTTCACCTTACTTGAACGTGGCAGGGATTAACTCGTTTTTCACTAACGCGTGGTTAATTGTAACACGCTTTGCGCTGCGTTGATTTCGAATGACTTTCCACTCAAGCCACGTGCCGAACTTACGTTCATAATTTATGCCACAAAATGCTTATAAGACTACAGACATCAATATTATCAAGGAAAAAGGTTAACGTACAAAATGCGGTAAGCATGATAATTATGAGGCAATTAATGATATTATGAAATATTTAGTGATAATATTTCTTTTAATAGCGAACATCGCGAACGGTCTAAACGAATTATTATTAGAAACTGCAATGTCCTTCGCTATAAACATCCACAAGTACCATCCCTTACCAGTTCGACAGGTCCTATAATTTATTAAATAAAAATAAACATTAATTCTTCATACAGAAGTACCATAATTAATGACTCCTAGACACGTTTACATATCGTTAATGACTGCAACGTTATTTTTGCCAATTTTTAATTAATACTCCAAAAAAAAAGTGTCCCATTTGACACAAGACGATCCACGTGCGAAATACGTTGTTTTCGAATCCAGAAGGTCGATTTATCACTAACCCTTTTCCCCGTCGGTTTTATCAAACCGCAAACCGCCAGTTGGGTTTATCGATCTCTCGTCTGGAGTATGTCGTTAAACGCGCGAGTTTGACAATTTACTGCCGTTGATATTGTAGCTTTTTGGCGGAGATACCGGCAACCGAGGTCACAGTCGCGAGGCCTCAGCCAAGAGATAACGTCCCGAGATTTTGTTGGATTTTCAGAGAATTTACAAGCGATCTCGGGAGTGGCGTCGTTGTTTATATTGTTAATTGTAACACCGAATATTGTTAGTTGTAACACCGAAATTTTTCACTCGAGCGTAATCGCATTTCGAGACAGTGATTTCTTTGCGAAGCTCTCGCTCACATCGAGATCTCCGTTAGCAAAAGTAACACGCTGATTTTTATGAAACTTCCAAAACTGTTCAAGACGCGTTATTTTAGTTTTTTTTTATTAGAATTTATTACAATTGAACTGTTCGGTGTAGCTGTCACCTCCCAATATTTCCATACAAACTTACACAGTACGATAGAAAAAATGCGACTGATGCGTAATGATGCTACACTCCATACTATTAAATAAAAAAATGTATATAATTAACCAGAACCACCAAATGTTAGTCCACAAATAAAGCGATCACGATGAACATCTCAAAGCCCAACGTATCAACTTGCAACCATTCCTATTCCTTCACGTTTCAAGTGATATTCTATTTTATTCTTTTTTTTCTTATCGCATTCAGGTAGCGCTTCCGCGGATGGTAAGGCCCAGTTGCAGATCATCTGCCAGCCAGAGCAGCAGCATCGGGCTCGTTACCAGACTGAAGGTTCCAGGGGAGCGGTGAAGGATCGCACAGGAAACGGATTTCCAATTGTTCGTCTGGTCGGCTACGACAAACCTGCGACACTTCAAGTTTTCATTGGCACGGACCTCGGTCGTGTCGCGCCCCATATGTTCTACCAGGCCTGTCGCGTGAGCGGCAAGAACTCGACGCCGTGCGTCGAGCGGAAAATCGACGGCACCATCGTCATCGAGGTGGACATGGACCCGTCGAAGGACATGCTGGTTACTTGCGACTGCGTGGGGATTCTCAAGGAACGCAACGTAGACGTGGAGCACAGATTTCCGCAGGAGGCTGGTATCCTTCAAGGTCGCAGTAAAAAAAAGTCGACGCGTTGTCGCATGGTCTTCCGCACGGCCCTCACGCACCCTGATGGCACCACGGAGACTTTGCAAGTCTGCTCTCAGCCAATTGTTTGCAGTACGTGTCGCGATACGCAATTCGCTTTTTGGACAATGAGTCATACTTTTCATGTAAAAACCAATATTATTGCGTTACATCCTCCTTAAACTCTTCGATATGGTTTATCTAACATATCCTGCTTTGAACGTTCCGCTATTAATTATTTAAGAGTTTTCAATTACGCGATACTTTATCGGTACATAATTAATTTGAACAGATTATTCAAACAATTTACAACTTAACCGATCCATGTATATTAACTCGGAAAACATGGTCGTTGGATAAACAAGTGAAGCTTATTGACTAAAATATCGAAGCATAGAATAAATTTTTGAATTGTAATGTTTGTTTCAGCTCAACCACCTGGTATTCCGGAGATCTGTAAAAAATCACTCACGTCTTGTCCATGCACCGGAGGATTGGAACTGTTCATTCTCGGGAAGAACTTTCTCAAAGACACTCGCGTGGTGTTCCAATTAGACAACGACGACCTATCGAGTAGCTTAGAACCGCACTGGGAGTGCGCGGTCTTACCCGACAAAGAGTTCCTGCAACAAACGCATCTGGTGTGCGTCGTACCCGCCTACAGACGGCAAGATCTGGCCCCCTCGGAAACGGTCTGCGTAAAATTATACGCGGTGTCTTCTGGCAAAACCAGCGAACCCCACACGTTCCTCTATACCGCTGTGTCCACGCCACCCGAGCCATCGATCGGCAAAGTCGAGCCCATAAGTCCACCTCTTTCCACAACGAGCGGCGAAACTACCCTCGCGACGTCCCCTGCAGCTGTGTCTCTGAACACGGGTGTAGCAGCGAACAGTAAGCCAATTTCTACTCCCCGTGAACAATTCATGTATCTGACAAACCTAGTACTTCTCAATTTAACACAATTTATGCATTTTTTCAGCTCTAATGACCCAAGCAGCCGCGGGAGGACCGAGCTTCCTGTCCACCATGCAACCGCAACAACAACCATCTCAAACGACAGAGACTCTTAAGAGCGATCCGAGTCCGCCACCGGTAACAGCGTCTTCTCAAGTATCGTCGGTTATGATGTGGACCACTCAGAGTTCGAATTGCCAGAATTCACCGCCCGACGTAATGATGCCTCCGCCAGCGTTGGTAGCGAATCCAATTCTGAACCGTAGATCTTCGTCGAACCTTCAACTGATCATGCCGGACAACTTGAAGACAGAGGTGATAGACGAGAATAGCGAGAACAGTATGATCAGCGAGAACAGCATGCAGAGCATACCTACTCCGACTGCGAGTGGCTCGACAGGCACGAGTCCGCTGCAGCAGCTGGTTACCGAGAACTCGAGAGAAACGTCCCAGGCTAACATGATCAGATCGGTGCCAGTCACTTCGAACGGCTCCCCTGTCCAGGAAGCGGTGAATCTCCTCGGGGTTGTCGACATGATGCGGAATCAGCATTCGTTGTCGATGGTGACGGCGCATCAGACCACCTACGGAGGTATGCACGAATCGTCTCAAGTCAAAGTTCTAAGTCCTCACCATATCAACAAAGACACTAACCCGATATTGACGACAGAAGGCAGCCCTAACGGAAGTCTTCAGGGTGGCGGTGTCGTTGATCTTCGTATGAAACACCATCAGTCGGAGTTTGGTGCTCTGTCGAACTTCGCCTCGTCGCCTAACGGGCCAGCGTTGCCCGCGCAGACTAATCATAGCCTGGAGAAATACCTGAACGATATCGAATCTAACGTTAAAGAGGTCGAGGATCAAGAGAACGGCTACGTGGCCAATATACAGCAACGAGCTTCCATTATCGCGACAGGACGACAGCCACAGCAAGGACAATCTTCCAGCATGATGGCACCTGCAACTCCAGGCGTAAAGTTGGACACTCTCGTTAATTCCGGGGCGGAAACCCATCAGATGGTGTCACCCCTTCGTACCGTGAACCCCAATAGCAGCACCATGATGACACACGTGAACCCGGTTAGCGATCACGAAACGATACCGAGTCCCCAACAAACTAGAACTAGCCCGACCATCCCTGTAAAGACTATGCTTCTCGAAGCGTTGATGCCGCCCCAAACCGTTCAGCCTATGACGTCGAACGTAGCGCCATCCGTCTCGCCTCCCGCATCGGTGGTGCAAGAGCAGACTGCTGGTGACAATTTACTCACAACCATCAACGCTGCCCTGATGCCGTCGATGCAAGAGCCGCCAGTCACAGCGACATGTACGTCGAACGCTACAGTTACGGTTCCGGCCCATAATTCGTTGCAAGTAACGAACGAGACAATGTCAACAGCGGCTGATCACATTCCCCAAATTCAAGGACTCATTCAGTCGGACGTTGTGGCGATGCAACAAGTCCAGCAAGTGGAGCAGGTTGTCGCGCAGGCACAGCAGCAAGTCGAACAGGTTGTCGCCCAGGCGCAGCAGCAAGCCGTACAAGCTGTTCAACAAGCTCAACAGCAAGTAGTACAGCACGTGGTGCAACATGCGCAGGTTGTTCAGCAGGCTGTGCAACAGGTGCAAGCGGTGCAACAGGTTCAAGCCGTGCCAGCAGTACAGCAGGCTGTACAACAAGCCACCCAGGAGGCAGTGCAGCAAGCGGTGCAACAGGCAACTCAGGAGGTGGTGCAGCAGGTCCAAGCTGTACAGCAAGCGGTGCAGCAAGCGCAAGCTGCGCAAGCTATGCAACAGGCGGTGCAGCAGGACATAGGTTCCATGTTGAATCAGCCTGCTGGCTTTGTCGCCGAGGCTAGCTCTGCCCTCGCAAGCGGAGCAGCGCAGGAGCCATCGCAGCAGCGATTGACGACTGCCGCGGAACAAGCGATCAATAATGTAATTACAAATGCCACTCAGGATATTATCAACAATCGACCTATCACAACAACAACGGCACACGCAATCATCGCAACGAAGAATATATTGAACAGCGTGGCTACTCAAAGCGCGCAGTTAATGAACAGTGCTATGGAAGGTATTTTGCCTAAATCTCCTCCTAGCCAGAACAACATCGTCGAACAAGTCACGAGCAAGTCACCGCCGGTTGCTCTACCCGTGACACCCAACAGACAGAACGTAAACGCACCTATAGCGAACGCGTCTGGCAACGCGGGTGGAACGACGATTAGGAAGCAAGAGGACGGTATGCTGCCTCAGGAGCTTACTTCGATGTCGGAGCACGATCTTTTGAGCTACATAAATCCCAGCTGTTTCGATCAAAGCGGTTTTCTTATGTAGTGGCGCCGCATTCTTGTCGTTAAAAATAAAACTGTACATTGTATTCGAGACGATCGGATACGAAACGAATTCACTAATTCCAGCCAGTTGAGTACGAGAAGTGTATATCCTGGGCTCGGTACGAATTCTATATCTGTGCCACATTGTCGTTTCAGACTTTGTATGTGATAGAAATGAAAATCCGCTTTTGTACGACGAATAATGGACGAAGTTTGCACCATCTTTCTAACGAAACGAAAACTATTATCATGTTAAGTAAGACGGGCGCACGAGAGCGCGACAATTAGGGTTTTCCTTTATTCTTCCTCTTTTTCTACGAGTTGTCGATTGTGATAATTCATTTTATTTATCTCTATCAATGCCTCTTGCGCATCCAGGTGCCTTTTCCCCTATTGTAAAGTATCTCGAATTGGTCTTTCTCTCGCAGTCAAGGAGCATCGTGAATACGAGATTGCGTGTGTATGTGTCCTAATAATCGACAATGTGCTGACCCCACTCAACTCTAAGTGGAGCCACGGAATTGAGTGTAGCAAAAGTTACGTTTCGCTGTACCTTAAAAGTAGACTATCCTGCGGTTCATCGATACATCCGTTCTTTTTGACTTGATTTCATTCTAACAAATGGATCATCTTGTTGTTTGACGTCGTTTCTATTATATTTCTAAGTATAATATATTTCGTATGTTGTTTAATAATTGAATCTTTTTGTTGCTAATTAATACCAATAATAGAATATTATGTGATTGCGTTGATGATGTTATCGATAACTAATAGACAAACGACAGAGAGATTATATTATATGTCGGTATGAAGAATAATTATTATAGAAGTATATATCATTGAGATATATATAATATATATTTTACGTTTACCCAAAGAGAGAAGCAGATGATCGGACAAAGTGAGCTTATTAAAAATATAACGAAGTCTATATTATATATTGTAACAAGTTACGCAAGGGTTCTCCCTTTTGTTCAAGATGAGGGGTGCTATGTACCGCGTGTACGAATACTCGCCAACATTATTTAGTAGGAGACAGATTTTATAATAAAATATTGAAACATTTATTGTCGTGATATGTCTTTGTAGCAAAATATATACATATATATTTTATATCGAGCATCTGTTACGTGTCACGTGTTTTAAAGGGTCGTTAAAAATAAGAGCATGAATGCTACATTAATGAAATAAACAAATCATTGTACTACGTGGTATGTACTTCGTGAAATTATTTGTAACATTTACTGTACACTGTACGCACATCTGTAGCGTTATCAGCTTAAACATTGAAAACGAAAATCATGAGCATGTATTATCATTTTACTTCTGTAAGTTGAATAAATGTTTCACAGCATTGCTTTTTCAATAATTTTTTTAATCAACATGGTTATGGCATTAGTTAATATTGAACAGTAATAAACTATATAACAATAAAAAAAAGTTAATCTACTTTACATAACATTTACAGTTAAGTACTTTACAATTGGGTTGTTTAATAATTTAATAAGTTACTACTTGAAATTAAATAATGTCATAAAATCTGCCATTTTCCTTTTTCGCCTTTTACTTTGCCTTCTTTTAGTAATTTATTTAGATGATGATATATATTGTAGGCTGCTGCTTCCCACATGTTGCTCGCAATTTCCTAAACATACAGAAATTTATATTACTTATTCTGTATTTCTAGTCTGCAATGTTAATTAAATAATGATTGTTACCGAGTATATATGTTTTACAATATCCATTTCAGACATTGTATTACTTCTTGAATTTTCTTGTAAAACTTCTAAAATTTCATTTTCTCTTTTCTGTCTATGTTCAATATAAAAATTAACACTGGCTATTGGATCTCTTATTACTGCCCCATGCCCAGGATAAATTATTTCTGGTTCCATTGCCAAAATTTTGTTCAGTGAAATCATGTAACTATGCAGATCTTCAAAAACAGCGGTTCTCTCTCCAAGAATACAATCCCCGCTGAACAATACCCCATCTTCTTTTAACCAAAGAACTGCATGATCGCTTGTGTGTCCTGGAGTATACTCAACGCTAAGTCTAGCTCCTTCTACTTCCATTATTTGTTTATCCACCAATGCTTCCCAATTAACCAATTTTTCTGCTTCAGTCATGCCATTATCTTCCAGAGATCTGGGTAATTTCCACACTCTACTATTTTCTGTAGGATTTAACATCTTTATCGTATTCAAAACAGGATTTACTCCACCTATGTGGTCACGATGCCAGTGTGTTATTATCAAGTGCTCTATTGTAGCTTTTTCTTCTTCTAATACTTGGTGCAATAATTTTGTATACTCTGGGGCAGTTTCTGAGTCACCTGCATCAATTAATATACGTCTACAAAAGACATATTAAATAACCATACATATTCTTCAACTACATGAAAGTATAAAATTGATAACTGTTACCTGTGTCCAGTGCCAACAAGGTAAGTATTTGTTCCTTGCAATGTCATGAGTCCTGGGTTGCATCCTAATATACGTATTACTTTTTTAGATAATCTTGATATCAAAGGCAAATCCATAAGAGGTTTCATAGTTTAGAGATGGTAAAAACTTTAAATAACAGCTAAATTACTTGTGTACTTTGTAATTATCTGTATACAAACTTCTTTGACGGATAGTGCAATACTGAACTATGATTTCTTGGATGACGATAAAACACGATTGGCATGATATCGTAATTTTGCAATAGTAGATAAACGTCTATTCACGGTTTTTAATAGATGACATAAAACTTTACGATCATCTGAGTACAGATTGATACAGATAATTACGCAAACTGTAAAATCCATGGACCTGCGGTCCGAAATTCATTTGACATAAGTAACAACATCTTGCGGATAAATCCCGAAGCTCGAGCCACTGTATTACATATACAGGGTGTCCCAAAATTCGGGGAGAAGCCGGAAATGGGGGGTAGCTGAGACGTTTCGGAACAACAATTTCCTTTGCAAAAATGTCGGATGGGGCTTCGTTAAGGAGATATTAAACGAAAACCCCGACCAATCAGAGCGTGCGTAGACCGTTCGAGCGGGCGCGGTAGCGAAGGCTACGCGCTGGCGGCCGCGCTTGTACGCGAACAAGTGACTCGACGTGCACCGAAGGACATTGACGCTGCAGCCTAGCGCGTAGCCTTCGCTGCCGCCTAGCGCGTAGCCTTCGCTACCGCGGCCGCTCCAACGGTCTACGCGCGCTCTGATTGGTCGGGGTTTTCGCTTAATATCTCCTTAACGAAGCCCCATCCGACATTTTTGCAAAGGAAATTGTTGTTCCGAAACGTCTCAGCTACCCCCCATTTCCGGCTCCTCCCCGACTTTTGGGACACCCTGTATACCATGAATTTCATGGTATACATATATGTATTATTTATTTCAATCGAAATCGTAGCAACAATGATTCTTGAATGTTGCTATTGATTCAGTCTTGTACATAATTAATAATAAATTATTTACAAATAGATAACAAATAATTGATGAACACAATTGCCTGCATTTAGTGGATGTTTTTAATTGAAATAAAATAATATGAGATGCATTCCTTTTATTTCCCTGTATGCTTCTGTTTTTCTTCTGAGAGCTTGCTTTTTATTTAAATAACATTTTGTCCATTCCTGTTATGCATGAACGAAAAACTTCGTACGGGGAATTTCATTTTGTTACCGAATAACCGATGAACAACGATTGGATATTACGCGAGCGTATTGCATCAAGCGCCATTTGTTTGGACGCTTTTCGGTCAGTTGCATTCGGAAAGTGCAGCGGTCGGTATAGGAGTAGAGGGATAAGATAAGGGACGCGCATTTTATTCGCGAAAAACGCACTGATTCGATTATGTGAGAAAACAAGTTGTGAAACAGAAAACGTAAGGATCACAATGCGTGAAAAATCGTGTTCACCGAATCATTACCGTACCCCAAATAATCGCCTACCGTGCACGTAAAAATCGCGTTATTTACGGCCATAAAGTAACAAGGATCGATTGTTAATTTGTAAAGGGAACAAAGGTTAAAGGAGCACGATGTCTCTGAGTGCGAGCGCTGAAAACTTATCATCAGAAGGGCAAGTAAGTGAACCACATTAATTGCTACTTTTCCTTGCGTGACTCATGCTGGACTTGTCATCGGATCACTACGTTCAATACACACGTTTTTTCGTGGATTGTTTGTTTCATATTACCGCAATTATTATTTCTCTTTAACTTTACAAAGACTTCTGTGTACAATACAAAATATATTCTCATAGAAATAAAAAAATGTTATACCACTATACACGTTTTTTCTTTAATCACTCTATTATACGTATATATTTATTCACGTATTCTTTAGTAAACATTCTGAGTATATTTCATGAACATGTTATTCGTTTAGTATACTGCCAGAATGAAATGTGAAACATTAGCATAAGCTCTTGTCTGCAATCAGTTCATTAGACTTGTACATGCAGCCACTCCCATTATCATTCCAATACCCTTTCAATATTTTTTTTCTAAACAAAGTCCTTTAGTCTATATATTTTACATTGTCAAATACACAATTTGAATGAACAGTAGGTAGGTATAAGATAGACGGTCTTCTTGTAATTAACAGAATAGCGAAAGGTGGAACATGTGCCTTGAACTGGCATTGGAGGGTGAACGTCTGTGCAAGGCTGGAGATTGCAAATCCGGGGTGGCATTCTTTCAAGCTGCAATCCAAGCCGGAACAGATGATTTGCGGATATTAAGTGCAATTTACAGCCAGTTGGGAAATGCATATTTTTACCTGGGAGATTATGTAAAAGCTATGAATTATCATAAATTAGATTTGACGCTTGCACGTAAAATGGGAGACAAATTAGGGGAAGCTAAATCCAGTGGAAACTTGGGAAATACACTGAAAGTTATGGGAAAGTTTGATGAAGCTATGATTTGTTGCAAAAGGCACTTGGAGATCTCTAGGGAAATTGGAGATAAGGTGTGTATAAATATATTGCACAGACTTATTTGTGATTTCTTATATTCCCTAATTATTCATGAACAAATATATATCATTACATAGCTTAGCGAAGGGAGAGCATTATACAACTTGGGAAATGTTTATCATGCTAAAGGGAAGCAAGCTGGCAGAGTAGGTCATCAAGATCCTGGAGAATTTTCTGAGGATGTCAGACAGTGTTTACAGCAAGCTGTATGCTATTATGAGTAAGAAAATCATGTCATGAATGTTTTGAAGTTGAAAAGTACAATATATCCAATGTGTAAATGGTACAAATTCTTTTATAGAGAAAATTTAGATTTAATGAAGGAATTGGAAGATTCTGCAGCACAAGGTAGAGCATGTGGAAATCTGGGAAATACATTTTACCTGTTGGGTGACTTTCAGCAAGCAATTTATTATCACAATGAGAGATTAAAAATTGCCAGGGAATTTGGAGACAAAGCTGCAGAGCGAAGAGCAAATAGTAATTTAGGAAACTCTCATATATTCCTTGGTGAATTTGAAAAGGCTGCACAACATTACAAGTATGTGCCATCATTACGTTTCTTTATTTGTTTGATAAATTAATATACAATTAAAATTAAATACTACTTTAATCTAGGAGAACCTTAGATCTTGCACAAGACTTAGGAGACAGAGAAGTAGAAGCACAAGCATGTTACTCTTTAGGAAATACATATACTCTCCTTAGAGATTATCCAACTGCAATAGAATATCATTTGTGGCATCTTGAAATAGCGCAACAACTTAAAGATCGCGTAGGTGAAGGCCGTGCTTGTTGGTCTTTGGGTAATGCATATGCAGCAATGGGCAATCATGAAAAGGCACTACATTATGCCAATCTCCATTTAAATATATCAAAAGAACTTGAAGATCCCATGGGACAAGCTACAGCGCAAATGAACGTCGATGACTTACAAAAGATTTTGGGTCTGGAAAAAGGCCAACAAGAGAATAATAAAGAAAATATTGCGCATAAACTTTCAACCAATACAGGATCAAACGTTAATATATCATCACCATGTAGATATAGACTTAGACGTGAAAGTATGGACAATTTGGATCTTATCAAGGTAATTTGATTATATGAGTTGAATTTATAGGTAGTATTAAATCAATAATTATAAATTTATAACATAATTAAAATTGCATTCAGCTTACACCGGACGCAAAATTGAAAGAACAAGCCGAATCTCAAACAGACAAAAGTAATAACGTCACGTCACAGGTCAGTCAAAAAGAAGAAGATAGTTTCTTCGATCTTCTATCACGTTTTCAATCCGGCAGAATGGATGATCAACGTTGTACATTAAATACGAATCGCTGTCAGAAGTTTAGAACGATCACGCCTGAACCGTGCGATTCGGACGATAAGTATGTATTATAACAAATGACATTATTCGTTGTTACTATTATACATTAAAGTATATTGATTCTATTTTCAGAGACGGGGAAGATTTATTAGAACTCATTGCTGGAATGCAAAGTAAAAGAATGGATGAGCAACGGGTGACGTTGCCTTACTTACCTGGCTTAAATACTGATCAGGATGCTGATGATTCCTTCATTGAGATGCTTGTAAGGTGCCAGGTATGTACCGTACCTTACAGGAACTTTGTCATATGTCTGTGTATAAAGTTTAATGATTTATTTAAATAGGGTTCACGTTTGGAAGACCAACGGAGTCCTTTACCCGCGCCATCGACTGTGCAAGATGCAGAAGAGGAACACGGCCAAAGATCCAATGGAACTCAAGCAGGCTCGACAGTTCCCGAAGAAGATCTCTTCGCTTTAATTCAAAGACTTCAGGCGGGGCGAATGGAAGATCAAAGAGCTTCAGGACCTGGGAAAAACTTATTAAAACACTAATGGCGGAAAGCGACTTAAGAAAGAGCGCGTAAGGCCCTGTGGTACCACTATATGTTTGGAATTCTGCAACTTGTACACGCAATTCCATGTTTCGTTTAGTATTTACGAAAAGTTCAGTGCTTAATTTGACCATTTACAGTTTATGAAATCAAACTCTAGGAAACTGTAAGGTATTACCATACCGTCCATTGGTATTAGTTCTTTTATTACACTTTTCACTTGGAATCGAACTTTCTTTTTCATTACTTGAGTGTCTGCAATATGGTGCCAAATGCTGTACATACGAGCCTAAGTAATGCGTTCAAACGCTCGGGATACGTTACGCAACGTTGGGTAGAGAATAATTTTATATTTAGTATTTTTCAAGTGTAATATCGTTTTACAGCATATAATAATTCATGATGAAAAAACTATTCATTCTTGACCAGAACAAATGTATGTCATTATGAGCACTGCCAGGCTGAGAGCATGAATGGCACGGACATTCCTTCTTAATAAAAGAGTTATCACATTATCGAGTATCGCGTGCCGAAGGTCTACCGATCCTGGCGTTATCTTTTACATATCAAACGTTATACAATTTATTTGGTCACCGATTATTTTTGCAAATGGCGGAAAAGTATGCTTTAGCGTACCGTCTGCTTACCTGGTGCCAAACATTGATGCGTTGGAAGCTAAATACTGAGGGTAAAGAAGGAAGTTGTTGGTCATTGTTACTCGTATATACCTTCGTGTATTTACTGTTTCTCTATTATACGTTGAAGAACGTACGTCGAAGCGGAGCGGTTTTCTCGGATCAATCGAATTGGTAACGCGTATAATTATAATAATTTATGACAAGCGTTACCATTTTTATCTTTCCATGTACTTCGCTCGTTCCAAGTATATGGAATGTTGATCGAGTATTTACGATGGGACTGGATCTGTTATGTATGATGTAATTGAGTGAACATTAATTCCAATAGTACCTAACCTAACTAATTAAATTGTACGGTAATAACGATACTCCAATGCGCTAACACTTATTAACAAAACTTAACTATATACAGGAGAATTTAATTTACACGGATTCTCTGATTTACAATCTGATACAGTGTAATGTATCGCCCGATCTCCTTGTGTTCCAAAAAACAATTTGAAATATGATAATACAGCGACACGTTCATTAAAGATGCATATTCAATATTTCATTGAATACTCCATTGTATTTATATCCTTAAACCTATCTGTCGGATAAGTAACTTATAAATTATTGTAAATTCTCGACGTTATTTATCTCTGAATACGTGATAAGACAATTATTAGAAAAGGAAATGTAACAAAAAACGCTTCAGTCAACAATTTTTAATGTACCTTTAAAAAAAATCAAACAAACAAAAAACCGAAAGGAAGAATGGAACATTGCCTTAATACTTATGAGATTCTATCGACGACCTAATAAGTGTGTGTTTTTAGACGTTAAAACACTTCACGCCTACTTGTATAAAACTAAAAAATTAACTATAAAACCGACTATAAAACTAAACCGAGCCTGATCGAGGGACTATAAAGCTATATCTTAAATATTGTTAAAGAGAACAAAAAAATAGTTATTTAGCATCGTACAAAATTGCAAACGAGGGCTAATGGTAATTCCTTGATGTACGAGTAGTGTTATTTTTCTTGTTGTTGGGAAAAATATATAACTGTGAACCAGCGAGTTAAACGTCGTTTTAACTGTGTAAACGTACAAGCTCGTCGCTCATCGTCATCATTAATAGGATTGATGTAAATATTGATTCGTTATTGAGTTGATATAATGAGAAAGAGACGGAGAGTGAGAAACAATTAAATTGAGAATATTATTTTTTGTAGAAGTTACATTTGTACTGGATTATATATCTTCCATACGTTTAGTTTCTTAACGAGTGCGATGGCATTTTTTATAAAAATCTGTTTTTGACGTAGATTCGCATTTCATCTTCATATAGTTATGTATAATACAAAGATTCAATAAATATATACTTTTTTCAGAATTCACACAAGAGTCGTAAAAATGAATCTTAAAGTCTCGAAGGCTTTAAGATCATTTTAACGCCTCTATAATTAATTTCCCTTCACCTTTCACTCGAACAATTCTTACATCGTGTTTACATTAATTATTATCGATTTATAAAAAGAACTAGCGTTGCATTCGTCAATAGTAGCGAGTTTCAGATATGTCTGCAAAATCCAAGAGAGCTGCAGAATCTGAATTTGAAGCTTCTATTACCGTCGATTCCATATTATGGCAAGAATGGTCTGACGCAGCGTTAAATAAAGAAAATTGGGGATCTCCTAAAAGTAACCAGTATTAGAATACGTCTTTTCAGAGCTTTATTCGTATCATTAATCGTAGGTGACACGAACGGTTTGTTTCTGGACACGCAACTGGTTCAGCTACCACTGTCTTTGACCCCATACTCGTGGATAAGACCAAAGAACTTGAGAAATTTAACCGTAGGTTAAACTTTTTAAATTAGTCCTTGTGTTAGTATTTCAAATTTCTTATTTTATTTTTAAAGAAATCACAGGATGTACTTTTAACGTTTATCGTTAATCCTTTTTTTTTTTATTTTTTACTTTCGAACTGTGTTTATCATTTTAGTCATTCAAATAATTGTAACGTTTGTATTTTTTAATCATTAATAAAAGCAATAAATTGAAAATAAATTTAGGAACCATTAACATTGTTCGTCGCCAACCCTGAATATCCAGATCTAATTACAAACAACAAACATATATTGCACAGTGAGGTAAATTGAACTTTACATACTTCTATGAGAGTTCTAATTCTTGCGTATAAAATAGTACGAGCCAGAATTGGTACGTGACTCAAGAACAAGCTCGCGTGTAATCGTGGTTAAATAAAGAGCAACTTTCAGTTCGCGCGATGGTTTATCTCTGCGTTAATAAACCTGCAGTATTGCGGTCGAGATGGATTGGAAATAAGTGGCGAGAACGGTAATTTCATTTGGAATGGACGGTACCAATCTTGGAAAGGCTGGATGAATGTGTATTCCATGTGCAAAGCTGGTAAAGGGACGCAACATCGGCCTATCGTGAATCCAAATGGTATTCTCAATGATTTTTCAACCCCAACATATTATAATATATCCAATTAAAATTATGCTAATATATTTTAAATTTACTCTATTTCACTCGAAAAAGAAAAATAATTACATCTCAGATCTGTGGTCAGAAATTATTCTCGTTATTATTTTTTGTCTTCTAATACTATTACCATTATAATGATAATAATAGTTTTCAATCCTCTATCCTCCTATTTATTTTATTATTTTTCTCCGCCACTTTCTTTTGCAAGAAATTAACCGTGAATCCATTTAAAATTTAAAATGCGCAATAAATATATTTTATATAAGGAAAGTACATCGTAAGACTGTACTTTCTGGGAGCATGGCGTCGTATCGTAGTGGATGACATGATACCAGTGAACGTCGAAGGGTTGCCGGTCTTACCTCGGACTGCTAACGATCATGAATTGTGGCCAATGCTTCTTTCGAAGGCTTTGCTGAAACTCTGCTCCCTGACGTGGTCTCGACATCGTGAGATCGTAGATTTTCATCCTGTCAGCTGTCTAACTGGTAAAACGCGAGTAGTAGCATCAAATCGTAACGGAAGAAATACAAACCTTTTGACGATGGATTTTCTAATAAAAAAAAAAAAGAACAAAATCTGGCAATAATTGTTATAAAGTATCTGAAATTGTACTTGCAACTAATTTAAATAATTTACATAAGAGTAAAATCTAAAGCAGAGATAATTTAGATCGCATTTTATAAATATTATAAAGAGCCAGAGTTCTATTATTATTTAAAAATCAATATCTTCGTGTTTTCACGATGTAATTGCAATTTTCTATGCAACTCAGGATGGGTCTGTTTACGATTGAAGATCGACTACCTGTCTCCCAGAGACAAATGGGATTTTCTGAGAAAGTATGCGGACCATTTCGAATGGGAACCGGAAGCCACGGAACAGGAGAGTCAGTGTTGCTTCTGCGTCGATCGTATTTATTGCTCTTACAATCCGTTTATAGTTTCAACGTTTTGGTAACAGATGTTTCGAAGTCCAAGATGAGCAGCGATGGAAAGAAGTCCAAGGACACTGTACGGACCAAAAAGTCCAAGGAGACCGAGAAGTCGAGGAAGACTAGGAGCACCGATCGGTCGAAGAAGTCGAAGGACAGCAGTCCATCGAAAAAATCCAAGGATCGCGTTAAAAAGCAAACAGCGTTGAGCAAACCGCAACCAGTCACCTTGTTTCTCGGTTTGGATAATATGAAGACGTTATCTTCCGAGGCAGTGCCTGGTTTGTCTCCCTGTTGGAGCCATTTTGTTTACGTTGCCCAGACTCGCGACCTCCCTCTGGACCCTAAAGACGTATATCATCCAATCTTGTGACAAATTCGCTTTCAATTTATTTAATTGATTCCGTTTACGATATTAACCCTTTGCACTCGAGAGGTGACACCCAGTCACCATTAGGTTTCACGCAGCAAATCTACGATACCTAATGTTTCTTTATGTTTAATTTCTTTGCAGATCAAAGTGTCAATAAAATGATTGTCGACGAGGTAAAGGTGACCTTATTCTCAAATCTAGGTAGCTTAGAATTCATGGCAATAGAATGCTAAGAAACATCTCGAGTTGCTGGCGGATACCAGAAAAAAAGGCCTCGAGTGCAAAGGGTTAAACCAGCCACATTTAATTAAAATAATCATGCTGCACGTCACAGATGAAGCCACCTCTGCCGAGATGGAAACTCTATCGTTGGCTAAAGTGGGCTATCGAGGAGGGTATAATCGATCCAGTCGAGTATTTCGTCCCGATTCGCTCCCTGAAAGTTGTCAGCCCCCTGAAAACCTTCGAGAAGAGCGTCATCGACAGATTCAACGACGCAGATATGGAAGAACACCTCCAAAAAGAAGAAATCGATCGCGGAACCACTTCAGAGAAATCTGATCGGAAGAGAAAACATCGCGATAAGTCAAAAGAATCCTCAGGAAAGACGTCGAAAAAATCCTCGAAGAAGACACCAAAAGATTCCCAAAAGAAGACTTCAGAAGACCTCCCAGTGGACATTAGTTTCTGGGTAGACTTCAACAAAATGGAGCCCTACGTGAGGGACGTCCATTTCTTCTACAAACTAGATTTATTCCAATACACTGCAAAGGTCTCGGATCGTTTAACCAGCAGGCTGCAGGATCACCGATCAGAGACGAAGAAAGGTAGCAGAACGGGTAGCAAAAGAAGCTCTCCGTCCAAAGAACCAGACTTCGTCGACGTCCACTGTTGGCCCCAGAAAATGTCCCCAACCAGAAACGAACCTCTGTACATCTTCACCGACTCCCTAGAAGAGAAGTTCTTTCTCATCGACTTCTCCACGTTCCAGGTTCGCGTCGATCCGCGAGCATCGACAGTTCCCATGTCAGGTGAAGGCGACAGAAAAACGAGCTCTTCGAGTATACCAGTGGTGGACGAGGATTATCTGATCGTGGAGAAGCACAACTGGTTCCGCAGGCCGAAAAAGACCTACAGCTTGGTTTACATACAGACTGCTGGAACGAGGTCAACGGTGATGGAGTTGAAGCCGGGAAGACATCTGCTGCGAGTGTACTGTCGCTCGGAGTCTAATTGCTTCCTAACGATTTCATCGGACACGAGCTTCCAGCTGGGAGATCGAAAGAGGATGTACCAACTGATGTCCATCGAGTCCGAGACGATCGATCAAGCGGTGAGGCACATCAGCAACTCGTTGAGCAGAGCCTATCAATCGTTCGGCACCGAGACGTACCAGGAAGCTTTGATGGCGTACTACGACAGCTACATGCCACCACCTGAGAACATCCGGAACAGAAGCAAAGCCTTCTACGACAACATCCACGAGTGCTTCATCGACGAACAAGTGCAGCTGATCAGAAAGATCTTACCTGCAGACCAATTGCCAGGAGTTTTGTGGTCGTTGAGGGTGTTCTTCCTGAACCCTATAATTGGCATGCAGTGCTTCAACCCTATGTTAATGATGCTGAAGAACATGCGGGAATCGACAACGACGAAATATTCGACAAACTCTTCTCAGGAACGATTCAATCATGGTAATCCCGTTGATCACTACGCTGCGACTATCATTCAGTCGTTCTTTAAAATGCTGATGATCAGAAAGTACAGGAGGATCCACGATCCCAGCCACGCGCAACATCAACTGGTTCTAGAGAACCTGGCGAAGGTGGCGGAGTTGTTCGATTATAATAAGCGAGAATCCTTAGCCGCCCAGATGTTAAGGAACATACTGAGGCAATTCGATAGACTTCAGGACGTGTATCCTTGCACTAGAGACTTCGAGTACACGCTCCAGGTGCAAGAACTGACTGGGACTCTGGGAAACGTGAAGTCGAACCAGTGGCTGCCTATGGCAAGGTTCACGGTGAATCCCCGTATTACCGAGACCGTTTTCGCAGGCGTGGATCTGTTCGTCGATGTACCTAGGTACAGTGTCCGAGTCTTCGACAACGAGACCGAGCACGAGATGTTAAGAGTGGTGAACAACGTGGTCCCAACTCGCTACCACCATACTAGCCTAGGGTACACGATCTTCGGTTATGGCTGGAGCGAGGAGAAGGTGTTCGAGGAGCTCACTTGGACGATGACCATAATCACCATGAAGGGGCAGCCAGTGTTTTACTCTGCCAACGACGAAACTTCGCCATCCGCGATTACGCTCCCTCTTCTAGTCACCGAAGAGCTGTCCAACGTTTACATACCAAACGCGAGCAAGTACATTTCGAAGTGGATCGTTAAGGTAGCGAGTCCCACCTTGGCATCTTTCAGGTTGAGGACGTCCTATGATAAAGTGAAGATCAAGTTCAGGGTGACGGACGAGAAGGGTAGAGTCTTGACCCAGGTGAAGGGAACGTCGGTGGTCATTCTGCCGGTTGCGTATTTGGGGCTGCAACGAGAGGAAAGTCAGATGCAGGTGAACGTGGAGAACAATGTTGAGGGCAGCCATCTTGGTAGGATCGGGACTAATCACGATAAGCTTTCGAATGGCGACGAAAGCTACAGCATAGGGGACACTGTGGAGGAAAAGCTCGAGTCTAAAGTTAGTCAGGAGTCGATGAGTCGTCGAACGTATTACGCGGAAGCTTTCGTCCTGGAGGACAGCTGGCCCTTGACGAAGTCAGAGTGGGCTGCTGTGATGGAGATCAAGTCGAAGGTCACGGGCTCTATCGCGAAAACGAAATCGTCCGTCTCGATTACGAATAAAGTATCCAAGTCTGATGGTTCGAGGACCAGAAAGGGTTCGAAGCAGTCCGTGGATGGAGGTCAGGCTGTGGAGACTCCTCGTTGGGTTCTTCAAGTTGTCACTGATTCTGGGAGCGGTTTAGAGGTATCGTTTTGTTTCACGGATTTTTGGATTTTTTTCAGAGATATTATTACTGTAGGAATACAGTTCCGGCTGATCTATACAGGGTGTTCAAAGAAAAGCAATCAATATTTATATGGTGTATAGGGCACACCGTACTGAGTAAAAAAGGACACGACAACAGAGGATCGAGTGAAAGTGTTACTATTAAGAGTCAAGGAATCAAAGAGTTAAAGAGATTAAAATCGTTTAAAGAGTGTAAAGAGTAAAGAGTAGAGAGTGCGTGGTAAGACTAGTTGTTAGAGCCCAATTGTTTTAATACATAACAAACTGATTAAACTAATCGAGTCTCAACCGCTTAAATTAATCTTGTACATGATGTTACGTATAAAGGGGAATGGTTGAATATCTCTTGTGGCGGGTTGCGATACTGGGAGTAAAAACTCCAATTTAAGCTTTTATGTTACAATAAATGCCTCCGTATGATAAAATAAAGTACTGAATTGTTATATGTACACATTTATTGAATAACATTCTTTGAATGATTGGTTCAATTGACAGATAACCCAAGACAGAACGAAAGAGAAGGAGATAGCCCAGATGAAGGAAGCCTGGGCGAAGGAGAACCCTGACAGCCTGCAACGCGGGCGAGAGCTCAGAGAAGCCTTCATTGCTAAACACGAGATCCCGCCGGAAGCTTCGACCGTTGAAGGTATCAAGAAGTCGTCTACTCAGACCGTAAAGTTCTCCACGAAGAGGGCCAGTAGGGGAACGGTTGTGGACTGTTGCCTGGAGACTTCAGCGACCAAGATCGAGAAAAGGACGACGAAACCGTGTCAGTCGCTTCGAAGACTTCCTGCGGTGGATCTGTCGTCCTATAAGATCAAGGAGGACGAAGAGGAGGTCTCGTGGCTGAAGACATCGCACGACGAAGAGGTCCTGAGCAACATCCGTGCGTTGAACATCATCTACGCTGAAGAAGACTATAACCACGTTCTGGAAGAGATGAATGGCCTGTTGAAAAGCAGGAGAAAGGGGTATCGCGAGCTCTTCGGAAAGCACAAGGATTCATTCTGGGAGAAGAGAGCTTTATTGGAGGACGTGTACGAAGCCAGGAAGGCGTACATCGGTACCACAAAGTCGGTGAGCGTTCAGAGTACCAAGAGGAGTGCGAGGAGTAAGAAGAGTACGAAATCGAAGAAAGTTTAAGTTACTTATTACTCGTTTTAACTAGGTTTCGTTTAAAAATTTTTAAATTTTCCCGGACTTTTTGTTTAAACGAATAGCCATTTAGCGGTGAATAACCCGAACTAATTCTCGGAGTATGATCAGCGCCTCTCTCGGGAAAACGCTCAAGTTTGTCCTCGAATAGTCAACGCTAGATGGCGCTATTTATTTATTTTAAATGTAAAATTAAGAGTTCAGGGTTACAAAATGATTCTCATTCATATTTTAATATCGGAATAATTGTCCACCTATTTATTTTGTAATATAAATATAAAAAAAAAAGCTATAATTACCTCTATCGCGCTCTACCGGGAAGACGCCCAAGTTCGTCGCCGATTAGTTTGGCTTGATCGCTACTAGATGCCGATACAGGTATTCTTACAGTTTTTTTTTTATATATATATCCAAAAACAAATAGATGGACAATAATTGCAATATTAAAATATAAATGAGAATCATTTTGTAACCTTGAACTTTTAATTTTTTAATTATAATAAATAAATGACTTTATCCAGCGTTGGCAGAGGGAACTATTCGAGGACAAACTTGAGCGTTTTCCCGATAGAGACGCTGACCATAACTCCGAAATTAGTTCTGCATGTTCACCGCTAGATGACGACACAATTTCAGGCGGGAAATTTGAATTCCATTTATTTAATTAAAGTTTATTCCCGGTACCTGTAGATACTATTGAGCAGTTTAAAAGATTAATACATTAATCACTCTGTTTTTTACTGTCGGCCTGTCTCGGCTTCGCCTGGGAGCAATTTTGAATTTTCTACCAAACTACTTTGTAACCAAGTTCATATAAGATTTCTTTACAGACGACATTAGTCGCTTTTTATTTTAATCTCAACACGAAGAAACCACGGAGTTTATTTTATACTACATAAAGATGTATAGCATGATCTGGGTCTTTGTTAAGTGGAATCATATTCCTTTTAGTAATAGAATAAATAAACGTATCATGAACAGTCTAAATAATTATATGACTGCGTATTCACCATAATTTTAGGATAGGCTGATATTAAACTGTAAACATCAGAATGGATGCTATGACTTGAAAATTAACTAACTGTATTTTGCATGTTATAGTTAAGTATCGAGGGAAATAAATGCTTTCGTTACATAATTTATGCATCGTAGTATTAGATGTACGACGCGAACGAAGTATTTACTTACCTAATAACAAAGCTGTTCATTTAGTAGTTCTCTATAAATATTTTTTATCGAACAATGACGCAGTGCGTTTCCAAGAGCATAAGGAACTCGAACAGAAGCTGTTCTTTGCATATTCTCTGGTAGTTCATCGCGTGGATCGTCGACGGGGCATCTTTTAATGATGCTTCTCCACTCACCTTGGAAAAGAAAAGCACGCCGATCCATTCCGTTCATTTTTCATCCGGGACCAGTCCTCAACGCGTGGAAAGATTATTGCAAAAGTATAGGAGACGCAAGGGAAGAGGTCTAGGTTAAACACAAAAACAAGTACAGCGCTCCACAGCGACGATACCATTTTACTCGACGCGTATCGTATACTCTTCTGTATTTTAGTTTCCTTTATTGAACAATTTGCAATCCAGTTACAACAAACTAATTTTAAGTAACGGTGTTCGTGTGTTACGAAATTGGTATTTGAATACTACACAGTTATAATTCTTGATATAATATCCAAACTAGATCAACGCATATGCACAATTACACTGCGAATGTTCAGTGCGGAGGAAGAAGCTAATATATTAAAAAAATTCATTCCCTATTGCAACAGCTGTTTCCAAAAATTGTGGTAAAATCATTCGTACCGAGTAATTTTGAGTACACGAGTTACATTGACCAGTTCGGTAGTTTTACCAAAAAAAATTAAAATCTTTGCTACGAATTGTTTCACTTTTCAGTCCACTTCGTCCTTACGAACTGACCTACTATGAGAACAGGAAAACTAAACGTTTACGAAACGTGCTGTACGAAGGTGCATCGGTGCGCGTTGATTACAGGTGCATGGACGTTGCAGGCTATTCACAGCGGTCGTGCAACCGGTAGCGCTTCGCTTCGTCGACCGGTAGTCACTGTCGATCGTGTTTGTTAGCCGATCTCGTATGTTGCGGGACGAATTACGATCAGGGTGGTACGGCCGCCTTTATGGACTACCGATGGCAATTTACCTTGTAAATATCGGTCTCACGTGTGGAAAATCCGTGTACGTACACGCGTGGAAACGTGTCCATCGATACGGTTGAACGTTCCAGCTTGTACCGCGCGCGAGAGGCGGATAAGATTAAGATTTATCGAGGGAACGGAAATACTTGGGATTTTCGCTGCTCTCTTCAACGATCGAGCTAATGCAGCCGCAGATCCTGGATGATTGCTTGCAAGTGCGAAAAAAGGTTTCGGTTCTGATTGGGATTTATTCTAATTGCGATCTGATCAGGCAGGCGACTAGACCTATTGAAGGCTCCTATGGAATTCTGGTTGGGTTTAGATCTATGAACGATCTTTTCTAGTGATGCGCACGAGACGAGGTAAATCGCGATCTCGTCTCGATTTGAAGATGCGATTCGAGATCGACATCGAGATTTAGCATACCGAGATTTGGGCGAGATCAAGATTATTTCAAAATCTCGTTGAGATCTCAACAAAATGTTTTATTATATTGCCGATCGCCAACACATATGACGCCCCGTGACTGCTGCGCTAACAAACGATGCCAAATACACTTTTGTTAATATTATATGCCGCTTCTGCTTTGAGGGCAAGTTCCGACCGGCATACAGTGTGATATTTCAGCGATCTAGCGGGACAAAACTTATGTGGTCCAATATCACGGAAACTATTAGGCCGTCCGCCTAATTAATTATTAAAAATATTTATTATTTAAACAATGATGGAGAATATGATTTTGCTGTAATATCAATGTTTCGCTAAATATTTCCTCGATGGATCCAACGACCCTTCGAATCAACAGCCATGCGGTTGTTGTTTGGCTTTGTCCCACTCTTCTTCGATAGCGAGTCGCAACCCTCGACACAGGTACACGAGGGGTGAGAGCTCATTCTTCGACGATCCTTCGGTCGGTATGGATCTCGCGATTGCGCGTCCGCGTCTCGCGTCCCTCCTATTTCCCCTTAGTTATCGTAGTGTGGTATTGCTTGTGGATACCTTAGCTTGGTTTGGTTAGTCTTAAGGCATGTATCTCAGTCAGTTTTAAGCCATGGATGTACGAGTGTCTGTCCTCTGTCAAATAATTATTAATTATTTGTTGAATTCTTTTGTTTGTTCGTTACGTCCATATTGGACTCGCAACATCGTTCTCCACTTCGATCACTATTGCTTGATGCTATAAGTGAAGTGACCAACTGTGCAAGTGGACAGAAAGGTCGGTTGCCGTTCTCCTGGTGGATCTGTACTCGAGAGGAAGACAATCGGTTCTCTACTCCTTGTATCCCGGCTGGTGTAGTCCTAGGCTCCCGGTGCAGTGCAGTAAGTCCAAGACTCAGAGGACTGGTTCGGAGGCGTCGGTCGTCTTCCTCTCGAGTCCAGATCCAACAAGAGGAAACGGGACTGATTCAGTAAGTCCAGTCACATAGTCGCGTCGTGTCGCGATTTCCCATTCAGCTTCCATTTAGTTCAAATAATTATTTAACAAAGTAAGACATAGACTTTGGAAATCAATGGGAGTTTGTTTTCTTTGATTTCCATGGTTTCGTACTTAGTATTAAGCTCGTCGACTCTATGTAGAGTATGCATCTATGCGTGTATATTCTATGTAGGGGGAGATCGAAGGAAGTTTAATTCCTTCTATCTCCGGGTCTCCAATCGCAGCAACCTCCACGTGGTGAGACCTGGTAATCGGTATTATTCGTGACGAACAATCCTTCGTCGCGAGTAATATCGAGCTAATGGCTGCGAACTTGTAATAAGATCTTTAGATATAAAAAGTGTAAAGTGCAAAGTGTAAAGTGTAAAGTGCAAAAGTGTAAAGTGAGATTAGATTTAGATTAGCAGGAATACAATCAGTTTTCAGAAAAATTCATGTGTATAAATTATGTATTAACTTTAATATATTTTTATTGTAAAATGGTAGTCAAGTTTCACGACAATTTGTGTTTATTAAACTACAGATCAAACTACGAAATACGTATTTTCTAAAATTTTGTTTTCTTGCATTACATAAAATTATCCTATTTGTAACGTACTTGCGTTCTGTGTGAAATGGAATTCTTAAACCAGTATAATCTAAGAACTGAAAAAACTTGTATATCGTTCCTAATAACACAAAGGTGTGTATTGTAAGTGTTGATATTCAATTCTTTAGTAATATATTCCGAGAATGTTTGCACATTTTGAACTGTATCGCCAATCTCGTCAAAATCTCAAGATCAAGTCAAGATCTCGTTGAGATCGAGATTATATATTCGATCGATATTAAATTGTCGAAAATTCGAGATTGATATGCATGTTCCGAGATTTTTCGAGATCATGATCGAGATCATACAAATGTCGTCTCATCTCGCCTTGTGCGCATTATTAATCTTTTCTTGATTGAAATGGAAGCATTGTAACGTACGAATGAATTGAGCGTAATATTGTATCAGAGCTCAGATACATTAACACTAATAGCTCCACAATCGAGGGGCACCAGGGATTAAAAAAGTGGCGATTGTCGATCGATCGATGGTCCTCGGTTCATTACTTCGAAGCAATCTGCTCTCTGCAACGTGCTCTTCCACGCATTTTCACCGCGTTTCACCCGAACTATGCCCCCCAAAAAAGATTTTACGGCTCACAGTAGGGTATAAAAACTAACGAGCTATCGCGATAGCTGCTACCCGGATCTCCGAATGTCATAAAACAACTGTTTCACTTACTGAAACGGGAACAGTGGTTCACAGCATTCGATCCGCCAGGTAACAACGTCATCTTCTAATTCCACGCCGCGTTTCTTCGTCGCCTAACTCGTAAAACTCACTGTACGGAGTGTTTTGCCAACAGCGGAGTGCAACACGCAGCGAAACCACCCCTCGCCCGTTCGCCGTTTTAGTGGCCGTAAAGTGGACCGACACGCTGGTGAAAAAAATAAACACGACCGTCGTTAATCATCCACCGATTTCCTTTGCCAACTCGCGGCGTGGATTAGGAACGGTCGACGATTTTCATCGTCGTCGCTCAAAACCGTCGTCGCGAATCGATGGAAAACCGTGCTTTACGACACTTTCATCGGTCGTTCGTGATTGGGGATTGTTTTTCCACATATTCTACGTACAGTCTGATTCAGGAACGTATCGTCTGATTGGGAACGGGGTTACCTGGCGTATTCTACCTAAAATGCCTAACTCGAGGAGTCGAACAAATCGACACCCTTCAGACAAATGCGTTTCTGGATCAGGTTGTTTGTGGTCATACTGTCTGTCTCATAAGAGCGTGTCGGCTATATTTCTGTGAATGTTTATATATTGGTACAAAATTTGATATAGGTCGAATCTACACCTAAAACATTAATACGCATTTACCTAGTAAGGTATCCAATATCCTCCATTAGCAATTGTAGCTTGGCACAATTCATGTTATAATATTTGCAGAATAAGATATATTCTTATTTAGGTTCAACTTTTGTAGGCACATTCGCGAAGATATTATTTTGCATAAAGATCCGCGGTCTAGTGATTACACTGGATAAACTGAATATAATATTTTCTTTGGTGCTTCAGTAGCTTTAAACTCTTACTTCTAGTAGAGACGAGAAAGTACTCGAGTCTCGAAATTTTCCATGATTTTACTAAAACGAAAAAAATTAACTATGAAAGAGATTTTCAGAAGCTACAAAATGATATATAACGCTTGCACATAAAGTAATTGTAACGACTTCAAAAAATTGCACAATCAGAAACAACGTAAAAAACACACGAACTTTTGGTCCGCCCTGAGAGAGCGGTATTAAATTTTGGTTTTTGACATAAATATGTTCCTCGATATCTAAAAATTCATGTTCATTACGTAATACGGCATGATTTCTGTTTGTTCATTATGTAGCGAAATGGCTCCGACTGCAAA